CTGGGCTGGACAGCCACGGGTGCTGGGTGGACGAGGAGCTCCCCTCCCACCCTGCCAGGAGCACATTCCTTGGGAACCCCCAGAGGAGAGCGAAGAGGCACAGCCTCATTTGGCCCTGACCCAGATGAGCACTCCGGCCATCTGTCACTTGGGGTTTGTGCTAAGTCCCAGTGGCTTCTCGGGGGAGAGGGGCCGGGGGTGGGAGGGAGAGGATGGGAAATGGTGGAATGAAGATTTCCAAGCCTCTGAGTTCTGCCCACCTTCAGTCAGGGGGCATGGAAACAAGACGCAACTGTGTAGAAAGAAAGAAATTGTAAAAGGTCACCATTTCCATTTTCCCTGTGAGCCTATCTGCTTCCAAGAGATGAGAAAAGTCAGCCCCCACAATAGTGATCAGATGCACCCCCACCCCAACTCTGCCAGACTGGGGGCTCTTGTGAGGGAGCCGGACCTCAGGAGACCCTTCCCACCACCTCCCTGCCCCAGCTTTCTCAACATCCAGAAGTCCTATGGGTAACATCAGCTCATTGCCTATAAGCTCTGGTGAACAACCAGACACAGATTCCCATGGAAACCAAGTCAAATTAAACTATCTGATTAACTATAAAGATCCAGGTGGAAGGAATCAGAAACAGCAAATGCAACAGGAGAGGCGATCTGGGGCTGAAGGAAGACCGGGTCTGGCCCGAGCACAAGGAGTGATGGGCAATGGACTCAACTCTGATGCCCCCGTCCCTCCCCAGCTAGTCATACAGACTTTCTGTCCAGTCGTGGTGACTACCTCAGGCTTTGTCATCTATCCCATCACTGGGTGAAACTGGGTAAATCCCTTAAGTTTTCTCCGGGCTTCATTTCTTTAACTATAAAATGAGGATGGGCAATAGCATTTCTCCTAAAGGGCTGTTGTGAGGATTAAATGAGATGATGCAGGGAAGTTTCTTGGCATAGTTATTAGTGTTGAGAGGGCAGCTAGTTCAACTCCCGTGACTATTACATATCTAAGAGTACGATGGGCTGAAATTCAGGGCTCTCAATAGCACCCTTTGGTTAAGTTTTGGTAAGTTTCTTTAACATCTCCAAACTGGTTTCTCATTTTGGCAAGAAAGCCCTGGGATAATGAAGGAAGATGAAAATACTCACTTGCTCCTTCCCCCCTCTTCCCTCTCCTAAACGGCCTTCAACAAAAAGCAGAAGGGGTAGGGCTGGATCATAAATCATCTGCCAGTTCTGATAGTCTTGGGGTCTAGAATTCTAGCCAAAGAAAATAAGCCAGAACCCAAAATACTTCCACCTATCTGACTCATCAAATTTGCAAACACAACTGTCTAGATCCTGATGCCAGAACCTTCTCTGCAAAGTCAGATCAAACGGCATCCTCCCCACAGCCTCAGCACCGCAGGCCAGCAGCCTACCCAGCTCTCTGCTCTGAGGGTTCCAGAGCCTCTCCAGGAAGCTGGATGAAGCAGGGCCTTGAAAGCAGCTGAAAGAAACTCACATGCTCAGGCACCAATTGATTTGCCCTAAAACATCACCCAAGCCAAAACAAACTGCCCACCCTGAGGTGCTATCAGCCCGGGAGAGAAGGTCACGGTGCCATCTGCGCTGGCAGCTGGGATGTCTCCTGGGGCAGGCTACCCAGCAGCTCAAGCAGCAGGCCCCCCCCCCCAGTTGACCTCTGGGCTACAGCTTGTGTTTTGATTAATGTCCCCCCTCACCCAAAAAAGAAAATTGACTACTTTGGGAAAGGAAGAGTGAGTCGGCTTGAGTTAGTCAAAATGCTGAAGCAGTAAATCTTTTTCAAGAAATAATTCTGGCTGCTTTTGGACACACACAATAAGGCAGCTTGGATTCCTTAAATTTGAGTCCCAGTCCTTAATATGCCCAGAGGGGGCTGCATTTCAATGAGCAGCAACGAACAACTAAATGCATAGATGACAGCAGTTTGCCATTAGGGCGCACAGCTCTTGATCCTACGTCTGCTCACCCTCAACGGGCTGACCAATAGCCCACCAAAGTATTGTTCAGATTATTTGCCTGGTCAGGTATTTTTTTTTTTAAAGAAATTACAAAGGTGAACTAGAATCTCATCCATAAGGACCCTACTGGCCCTTCTAGGTTTAGCACGGCAATAACACATGATGGTTGAGAGACATGGCCAGTGTCTGACAGAACTGGGTTCAGTGGGGTCCCTCGACAGCTGCTGGACATGGGAAAGCCTCAGCGTCTTCATCTGTCAAGTAGGGATGATGGTACAAGTCCCAAAAGATACAGCAAGAGGGTGTGGGGACGCCCTGATCTCTAGCCTGGCTCAGTGGAGGAGGGCACTGAAGTCCACAGTAGGCAGGAGATTGCCATTTTGCTGGAGACCCCATGTGAACGCTGGGGTCTGGGTGTGCTGGCCAGTCCCTGGGCTGGTGTACCCTGCAGCCACCCTTGACCAGGCTCTGTCATCCTCTGCTCCCAGCCCTGTGAGCAGAACCTCGCTGGGGCCCGGAGAATACACCAGCATACTGACTACATGTTCTGAAGAAAATCCCACAGTGACCCACCCCCACAATCTTGGAGACGCCTGAAGTCTGGAGGAAAGCTTCCTAAGTATCATGAGTCAACTAGATCTAAGAGCCAAATTCAAATTAATATAGTTTTATAGAAACTCTCTGTTTGGAAACAACCTTGACAAAGTGTCACTCAGCACTTAGAGTGCAAATGTTGTGATTCATCGTTAAGATGGAGCCTTTTAGCAGCTTACCGAAGAACAGCTCGTTCCCCCCTTGGCAGGCTCAGAATCCCAGCCAGAGGGGTCCTCTGCACGTTCGGCTCCCTGTGCATGGAACTACCAGTTCCTAAGCCTCTCCTGGTCATGTGACTGGCTCCACCTGTCACTCAGGTCTCAGTTCGATGTCATCTGCTCCAACAGCCTGTGCTGTCCCCTCAACCTAAGAGAGTGCCCATCTCATCAGCCTGTGCTATTGTCTTCAAAGCTGCCAGAGTAGCTGCAACTGTCACATTTGCTTAATTGTTTATGTTTGTTTCCTCCCCCTTCTAGGGAGTCAGCAGTGGTGGCTTCAAACATATACTCTGAAAACACACCCCCTGAGTTCAAACCCCATCCTACCCCTTTTCCAGCCCTGAAACTTCACGCAAGTTACTTAACCTCTCAGTGTGTTGGGTTCATCATTTGTAAAATGGGAACAGGGGTGGGTATCAGATAGCATTAGACATATAAAACATGCAATGCACTCAGAACCATGCCTGGCACGTTTTCAGTGCTCGGTAATGCTGAGCTATTAATTTAGAATTTAAGTTCCTGAAACTGGGATCACTGCCTATTACACTCACCACTGTATCCCCAGTACGTCAGACAATGCCAGGCACAAAGCAGGCATTTGTTAAAGAACAAAGGGATGACAATCAAGAGGGAAAAATGCTCCCACCTCACAGGACAGCTCTGGGATTCAGTCCACGTTGGAACATGATGTTGCTTGATTTATCCTACCTCCCCCAGACTCTCTGAGGCTGCCCTTTGTGGTCCACTTTGCTGAAGTCCTGAGGGTGCAGCACCCTTGCTCACCCCATGCTGAGCAACGTCAAGTCAGCCTGGGCCCATTCACGGGGCCAGAGGTCCTGATCTGTGGTCTACCAAATACCGGTGTCCTGGGATGGGAATGCACAACAGCTTTGCAAATGATTGGAGTAACACAAAAGCGAGGAATTCTCTTCACAGGGACCAGATAAACTATGCTTTCTAGGTTTCTCCAAATCAATTACCAAGATTTTTAAAGTCTGTAATAATCACATGATCCAAGAACTCCGTTTCTGGGTATGTATCCAAAGGATTGAAAGCAGGGTCCCCAAAAGATACTTGCACAGCCATGTTCACAGCAGCATTAGTTACAATAGCCTAAAGGTGGGAGCAGCCCAAGTGTCCGTCAACAGATGAATGGATAAACACAGTGTGGACTACACACACAATGGGATATTATTCAGCCTTAGAAGAGAAGGGAATTCTGCCACATGCTATAGCACGGATGAACCTTGAGGACATTATGCTAATAAGCAAAATGAGCCACGCACAAAAGGACAAATGCTATATGATTCCACTTATACGAGGTACACAGTGCAAATTCATAGGGACAGACATAGTGTGGAGGCTGACGGGCTGGGAAGAGGGAGGCATGGGGAGTTAGTATTTACTGGGAGCAGAGTTTCAGTCTGAGGGGATGAAGAGACCTGCAGATGGATGGTAGAGATGGTTGCACCACAGTGTGAACACACTTAATGCCACCAAACCATATGCTTAGCTTAAACATGGTGAGGGTGGTAAACTTTACGTTACATGTATTTCACCATAAATAAAAAAAAAAAAGGCCTCATGATGGAGTTAGTAGACAGGATATGTTATTGTCCCAACCCTGATTGGGAAACATCCCACCAGGGTCCCCCCGCCGTGTGGGGCCCCCACAAGCTGCAGTTAGAGCCCAGAACTTGCAGTTCCTCAGGCCCTGCCCCACCCCTCAGCCAAGAGAGGCCAGCCTGATGTCCTGAAAGCTCTTCTTAGACAAAGCCCCAGGGGCACCCTCACCCTCACGCCAGCCTGGAGCAGGGGCACACCCAGTGAACCAGCGAGGGCTGGACTCGTTGTCCCAAGCAGAGCCAAGAACATCAAGGCTTTGCTTCTGTTCCTCCCACCGCGGGATCCCAAGCCCACCCAGTGCCTCGTGCTCCCCTGCACCCCCCACGCCCTACCGGCTCTGCAGGACTGAGCGGGCTGTGCCCACACTGCTCCTTCAGGCAGCGACAGGCTCCTGCTTCCTTGGCCAGAACACAGCTGGGCTTCTCTCCCGGGAGAAGGAGCAGGGTGTGGGGAACTAGCTGAGGCCACTTCCTTCTTTCCCCTGGCCCCAGCATCTAACAATGATCTATTTCAACTCAGTGGGAGGAAGAAGGAAAAAGAGAAGGCAGAGGAGGGAAGGGGAAGGGAAACCACAACCTCTACTTGCCTGAACATCAAACTCTTGCAGGAGGCCAGTGATCGTCTGTGGAGAGACAAGAGAGGTGGTCAGTTTCATCAGTTTCCTGCTGCAGAGAAATAACGCTGGAACATACAGGCCTCTCCAAGTCTGAGTCTCTATCTGCCTTCCCTCCTCTGTGGAGTCTCTTTCATTCCTGACAAAGAGAGACTTTTCATCTCAAAGAGTAGGAGTCCAGTAGAAAAGCGGACACATTAGCTGGATTCCTTTGACTACAACCTTGGTGAAGAAAATCTGGAGGTCTAAGCTGACCACAGACTTGAGAAACAAAGGATTATAACTGCCCATTAACTGATCTCCCAGACTCCACCCATGGGTTACCCTTCCAAGACTCAAACCTGACCATATCACTGTCCTTAAATTTTTTCCATGGCTCCCGGTCATCTGAATTAAAGTCCATTCTCTTATAGGTGGAAGAAAAGAGCAGAAACCTCTAAGCCTTTCTCTCAAACCAACAATTCTGAGTTTTCCACCCAAATTCTAACTTTCACCAGAGCTGTCAATGGCGAGAGGGGCCCAGGAAGACAGGAAAGGATCCTTGTTCCCTGGGGAGCAGTGAAAGTGTAGCTCAGAGAAGGAAAGGCACTTGGCCGGTGTTTCCAAGAGACATTGCTGGCACGTTTTCCTCCCAGCCCAGAGATGGAGTCCTATGAAAACTAAGCCCCAGCCAGACCCATCACCAACGAGGAAAGAAGACAATTCAGCAGAGCAAAATGCAAAAGAGGTGAAGGAAGTAGAGAGAAGCCCCTACGGGACAGCCAGGGGCTGGAAGATGAGATTAGAACAGATTGCCTGCTGCTGGAGATTAAAACAGCTTCACAGCTTCCTGAGTCTGGTAAATTCAGGTGGAAGCAAAGGTGGCTGACACCTACTGTGTGTGTATGTTGGTAAGAGGAAGTAGAAAAACCACCCTCTACAACCCCAACCTTCAAAATGTCCCCAGGAGTAGTGGCATCCAGATGGAGGGCAGATATCAGGAAGAACTTTCCCACCGCAAGTCTAATTAAAACCACTTCGCTAAGGCAATCTAAGGAATTGAAAGGTTTACTCCCATCTAAACCTTCAAAGCAAAGATAAATATCCACTTAGAGATAGACTGACATGTAGCCTGGAGCTGATCATCTCTTAGATGTTTGTTTCAGAAATTAATTTTTCCAGCAACACCAGTAGGCTGCCTGAAATATATAAATACTGTGTTTAAAAACGCATTTACCCTTGGACCCGGCAAGGCCACTTCGGAGAATTTATCTAGAGCTGCACCTGCACATTTATGACATAAAGTGCATGTAAGGTCCACAGCACACAAATACCCTGAGTGCTACTGGTAATGATGAAAGGTTGGAAGACCCCATGTCCACATAGGGGCACTAATCCAAAAATCTTGGTGGGATTCTCTGAAGCTGCAAAGAGAAAAGCTAGGGCTCTCGGACTGATGTTGGAAAGGTCTCCAAGCTATGTTGTTAAATGAATAAAGCAAAGGGTGCCCTACTATTTCATGTGGCTTTTTAAAGGTCGGAGACAAAAACATGTTGATATGTGCTTGTATCACCTAGGGCTATTTTCTTTGTTTGCTCATTGGGTGGTAACTGTGTCGTAGACTCCGATGGAAGAGAAAATGGGGTTGGAGCATGGCTCAGCAAACTACGGCCCTCCACCTATTTTTATAAGCAAAGTTTTGTTGGAACACAACAAGCCTACTTGCTTACATATTGCCTGTGGCTGACTTCATGCCATTGGTTATCAGGCTAAGGAGGTGGAACAGACTACACGGCCCACGAAGCCTGAGATGTTTGCTCCTTAGCCCTTCACAGAGAACATCTGCAGACGCCCTGTGTAGAATGGTAACTAGCATTCTGCAGCTTCCCCAGGCCTGGCTTCCCTCTAATCTGCCTGTGCCACCTATCTGAATGAATGTGGCCAAGTCCCTTCCCATCAGAGACCAGTTTCTGTAGCTGTAGAATGGGTATAGAGAGCTCCCTCACACATTCCTAGTGAAAGGTCCATGAAGTAAGGGACCCAAAGCAGTACAACCACAGGCAGAGCCATCACAGAATTAAATGACTAGTCCATCCGCCAGTGGTGGCCGGCCTGGGTTTGGCTCGAAGCCCCTTAGTTTGTAACTATGTGACTGAGGTCCATTAACCTCTCTGAGCGTCAGCCTCCTCTTCCGTAAAATGCAAACAATCCCAGAACCTAGTATCTCACCAACTACGGCCTAACTGTTTGGTTAGCACAGGATGACGCATGAAATACGGTTGACCCAGACACGGGCACGCAGGGCTTGGTTTACACATGAATTATTATTTTCAGTCGACCTTAGAGTAACTTCACTTTTGAGCCTGAGCTGTCCATTTCTAAAAAGGTATATCAGCAGAGGCAGTTATGAGGCCCAGTGAGAACTGGGATGTGAACACAGTTCAAAAATACAATGTTAACTGTGCACATGCAAAGGCTTCTCAGACCCATTGTCAAAACAATTGTAAGGATCATGTCAGCCCAAGTTGTGAGGCAGGGGCTTCTGTCTGTAATAGAGGCCTCATTGACATGAGAAGTTTGACCAAGAAGAAGATAATAATTGTGAAAAACAAGAGCTTATGTGCATTGCTTATCTCCCCCATGCCAGACGAGGGAGGTTCTAACGGCTTTATATGAATTAACCCGCTCCAGCCCCACTGGCCCCATGATGTAAGTCCTGTGTCACTGTTTTAAAGTTGGGGAACTGGAGCATGAAGACGTTGAAGGATTTGCCAGTGGACACGAAGCTGCTCAGTATCACAGCCAGGTTGTACGCAGGGCAGTCTGGTCTCAGATTAGGTGGCATTAAAAATCTCTAAGCTAAGGGATAGGCAGAGCTATGGTCACCTGGGCTTCATGTTGCGCATTCTGGAACCGCAGGATATCCGACATAGGGGTGCTTAGAGGGACTCTGGTTTGAAGCCCTTACTTTACAAATGAGATCAGTGAGGTATGGGCAGAAGAGCCCAGAGAGGCAGACAGGGGTCCAGCCCACAGTGCCAGAACACTTAGTGGCCAAGCTGGGACTTGAATTGGAACCTCTTGTTCCCCTGGCATTCCTGGACAAGGTGGCCTGTGGAAACAAGGAAGCAGTGGACATGTGTATGTGTGTGTGCATGTGTGCACACATGGGCGGGTATGCATGTGTGTTCATACTGTGCACACAAGTATACCCATATATGAGCATGCAAGGATGGGGCGCAGGAAGGAGCATCTCCGCTCACCTCTCCTTTCTCCACCAAAGGCTTCACCTCTGCGAGGTCCACGTCCTGCAGCTCCCGAGACATGTCCCTGCTGTCAGCTGCCTGCGAAGGGACAAAGGCCAGGAGGTCAGCACTTCCTACTGAGAGATGTTTCCAGAAAGAAGCAAATCCGAGGCCAGGGAATGAGCTTTCCCTCTGCCTAGCAGTTCTTACCTCCTGCACTGCACACTGCAGGTCACAAGGCCAGGTCCCCCTTACCTGCCACCCCTTCCCACTCTTGCAGTGGGATGGAAAACTGAGGCTCATGGACATAATCTGTCCAGTGAAATGGATGGATCGACACTCAAAATCAAGTCCTCACATTCAGGCCAGGCTCACCCACCATGCGCAGGATGTTTCTTGCTGCATTTTAGAAGGAAACCCACATAGCTGATGCCAAAGTCAGACAGCCCCAGGCTGACAACTAAAAGGGGAAATAAGGCCACAGGAGACCCACCATGTACAGGTATGGCACAAGCTTCCTTCATCCTCAAACCAGCCCCAGCAGAGGAGTGGCTGCACAGAACCCCCTAGGTCCACCTCTGTGTAGAGCTTTCTAGACATGCCAAGCGGAAGAGGGCAGGGAACAGGAAGACCTCAAGCCAACGGTCCAACAGGACTCAACGCTCAGTAGGATTTTGAATGAAAAAGCTCGCTGTGAGCCAAAGGGGGTGGGAGAGCAGGTCTGGGGAAGCAGGAGGACTGACCTGGGGAGGGTGAAGCGGTCTGGAGGTCAGTCTGAGTGGGCCACAGGAGGTCCTGCCTGGCTCTGACATGGGCAGCGGCAGGAGGACCAGGAGGTGAGGGCAACAGAGCTAGACAGGCACAGAGTTCGGGATGGCGGCTTGCTCAAGCAAAGCCTGAGCAGTGACATGTCCTGAGCATACTTTGGGGAGCTTAATCTGCAAGCAGGAGGTACAGAAGCATTTATTCTTATAGATCAGGATCAAGCTAGAAGAATGAAGTGCCCACCAATCCCAGGATGAGCCACAAATAACCCAGAGTGAGGGGTCAGGGCTGCCAGCAGAGGCAGGGGGGACAGGCAGAAGGGGTAGGTGACAGAGGAGGAGCCCAAGGACCCGCCAGTTCACACCCTGACCCTGTGAATCAGGAAGCTTGGTGAAATGCAAGCTGACCAAGGCCCTCACGTCGCTACCTTCCAGAGTGGGAGCCTGGCCCCAAGCTGCCCAAGGGCCCCCAGCGTAATGGCCAGAGGGCTCCTCTGCAGACCAGCTCCCAGAACCCATAAGAATCTTCTTTGTGAAACACCTCTCAGAGGTCGGGGCAACACTGCCAGGCCGCCCGGCACCCTCCACCCCCCAGGCTAACATGTGGCATTCTGTGGGCAGATGCCCTGGGATGCTCTGGTCTAGGACTCCACCACGATTTTTCCCAGTAGATAGAGCCAGCCCCACAAGAATGCCTTTATGCAGCCTGTGGAGTCTACACTCGAGAACATTCTGAAAACAAAGTCAGTTTTATATTTGTGAGCATTCCTGGGCATCTGCCAGCTCGGAGGCAGGAGGCATAAAAAGCCGAGGTCTATCAGCTTTGCTAATTCAGCATGTTTATGGTCCCAAGACCGAGGCCCATGGGACACCTCGCCTACACAGGCTAGAGAGCCTTCCAGAAGCCCGAGCTCCCTTCATGCTGAGGGCGTCAGGACCTCACATATCACAGGGGCAGCTTCAGAACCCGGGGCTGGTCTCAGGGTCTCCCACTATCCCCCGGGTGGGCCCTGGCAGGCCTCCTTCAGCCCCACCTGTACAGGCAGCCTATCTCGGTTCCTTCCACACCTGTGCTCCTAGCGTTATACCAGGTACAAAGTTGGACCTCTGCTTGCTTGCTGAATCCATGAACAGGTTTTATGCAGCTAAATTGATAATGCTTGTATTTAAATTCACTCTTAAATAATCACTAAACACATGAGTGAAAGGCCCTGAAAACATGTCCCTTGGCTTCCAGATGTTGTGACCCCATTAGAACATCAGCCTCATTCTCAAAAGAACACAAGAGTGTTTGAAGCCCAGCCTTCCTGATTTCCTAAACATGCCCCTGGTGAAACTGTGTCCCACCCATTCTTTTCCTTCCCAAAGCTCAGCTCCCCAGACCATGTGAGTCAGTGGTTTGGAGACTAGCTGAGGCTTCCTTACATGTCAAGTATTCAGAATTGCTGCTGTTTGCAGTTGGAGGGGGGCTGATGGCGTCCAGGCCCTCGTGGCTCAGGGCCACAGGGAGCCTCAGAGGCAAGGCCACTGACAGTGACCACTCTATCTAAATCTGGTGATTCTGACCCCCAGAGGACATCGGACAGCCTCTAGAGACATTTTTGATTGTCCTGACCCAGAGATGCCACAGGTGTCTAGTGGGTGGAGGCCAGGGATGCTCCTAAACATCTCAGTGCACAGGACATTCCCCGTAACTATATTTCAATTAATTCGTGAAATTTAAAAATATTAACTAAATTAATTAAATTGAATTAATTAAAATATCTCCTCCCAGGTGTCAACAGTGAGATACCCTGATCTAAACCAAGAAGCACCCAGCAAACACCCCAGGACTCTGAAGTCCCCATGAACACTGAATAGAGCAGAGGAAGCCTCTGTCCTGTCTGCACCTGGCGGGGGTGGGGGCAGGGGACTTGCACTTGGGGCAGCCTGCCGCTGTTAGCTAACTAGCCTGGAGGGTTCAGCCAGTACTTCTAGCGAGGTCACTGCCACACAATCACCAAGGCTGCCCATATTGGGGTGCGGAGGGTGCTCTCCAGACCTTGAACCCTCCCCCACAACTCACATGCTAGTGGCCAACCTGTCATGAGCAGGACAGCTGGCTGCTCTCAGCCCAGTTCTGCTGACATGCCAGCCCTACGCTGTCTCTGTTGCCTCAACCAAAGGACTTTGCAAACTTATGTTTCAGAAGCTGTTTGTCTAAAGGAAGTCTTATAAGGAAGTCCAATACAGAAAAACAGATACGAAAAAAAAGAAAGAAAGAAAAAGCTGACATGCTTTGGAGGAAGCCAGGGTAAAGGGCCTGACACCCGCCTCACCGCAGTCCCTCATCCGCCCCCTTCCTACCTTGTGCACCCACCCCCACGCACCCCTGCACCGTAAAACCTGCCCCAAAGACCATCTGAGTTCCAGGAAGCACAGTTTGAAACAGATTTATTCAGAGGGTGCTTCCTGTACTAGGTTACCACGTGTCCTCACTGAGAGATGATGTGGCAACTGGAGACATCGCCACAAACAGACTCAGTCCTGCCCTGTGGGGTTCACAGTCTCGTGGAGCCAGGTGCCTCCCCTGGGGTCCAGCTGTACCCGCTCCCGCTCCCCCTTCAGGCCCGGTCATGAGTGTCCTTTCTCTCCATGAGGCTGTGCTCTCCGGGAGGACAGAGTGGACATGATCTGGCCACGGCTTCCTTTCCAGGGCTTCGGTTCCCCACCTGGGCACTCCTCCCATTGGGGGGGCCCATTCTTGTGTGGAGACTGCCACTGCATGGTAGGTATTTGGTAGCGCCCCTGCTGTGGCCCACTAGGTGCCAGTAGCATCCCTACCCCGAGCTGTGAGAACTGAACCAAAAATGTGCCCCAAGCAGGCAAAATCACCCTTGGGTGGGAACCACTGATCTAGGGCAGTTCCTGGTATGAATCCAGAGAACGTCTGTTAGAGACAATTCTAGTTTGATCTCACGTGGGTGTGCACACACACACATCACCACCTCTGCCACCACTGTCATGTACGGGGGAGGAGGCTGAAGTCTCAGGGGCTGGGAGGGCCATCCTGAGGGGGCACGGCCATCTGCACATGCAAAGGCCAGGATGAGGGGCTTCTGCTGCTCACTGCTTCTTCAGCAGTCTTCCGCACAAGGGTTTTCAACCTCACAAAGGTTTCAAATTCACAGCTCCAAGGCCACAGGCTCTTCTGAGGAACAGCTCCAGCTGCAGCTGCTACTGTGTAAGCGACTGGGATCTCCTTTGCTAGGAGGGAGGTGACCTGGTTCGGGGTGCTCTGGTTGGCACCCCCACCTCTACCCCGAGCAGGCACCACTCGGAGCCCACACCTGGGGGTCACTCCCCTCAGCTGACCCGAGGCCGTGCTCTGCTCAGCAAGTTCTCTCCCTGGGTTTGAGCCGAGTGCTGGATGCCAGCTGCCGCCCCTTTCCACCACCTCCTGAAAAGTTCCAGTGCAGAATGTCACACCAAAAGGAGCCAAGGTGATCACTTAGAGATGGGGTGACAGGGCAAGGCCACACAGGGCAGTGGGCAGGAGCCCCGGGGTCTGGCGCTCAGCCCGCCCACTCCACCCTGCATGATGGTGGACACTGCGGTTCCCGCCAACTGAGTGCCTGAAATGCACAGATGGAAGCCCTCTAGACAGAGAATCAGGTCAGGACAGGTCTCCTGCTAACCTCACTCAATGCCAGAGACAGGGCTCCAGATCACAACACCAGCAGCCAGCCTGGTTCGGATCACTCCTTCCTGCATTCCCACCCACCTCACCCCCGAAGGAACTGAGAAAAAAATCAATGATAGAGAAGTGGAAGGTAGCCAGGAGCTCGGGGAAAGACGTGCGGGTCAGACCTGTGCACCACCACGTATCAGCTCTGTGATCCTGAACGAATCACCCAAATTTAGCCTTCAGCCTCAGCCTCAGTTTCCTTATCTATAAAGTGGACATAACAACTCCTGCTCCCAGCAAGTAGCAGTGGGACTGAAAATAAACAATAGCAAGAGAATCTGGCAAATACAGTGGCCCCCCCTTGTCAGCAGGGGGTACGTTCCAAGCCTCCGGTACCGAACCCTATGCACACCAAGGTTTTTCCTATACATACATATTTGTGGCGAAAGTTTAACTTGTGAATTAGGCACAATAAAAGACAAACAATGACAGATAAGAACAACTGTAACAACACACCGCAATGACAGTTATGTAAATGTGGTATCTCTCTTCAAATACCTTATTGTAGTGCACTTGTCCCTTTGTGATGATGTCAGATAGTAAAATGCCTGCACAATGAGACGAAGTGAGGTGAACAACACAGGCATCATGACGTGGCTTTAGACTAC